TATATATATATCTGTGTGGCGTGTGTTTGTGTATATGCTTGTGTTAATGTTTTGCAGCCTCCTTTGCAGCACCATGAAGGAAAAAAATTGACATTTGGTAAGAATCCATACTTACCAAATGTTTATAGTATCCTTATTTTAACACACTAAGGAACTTACTTCAAAAACACTGTTATGTTAACTTTGACCAGTGACTACATTTGAAAGATATATCCATCACAGCAGTTTAAACACCTAATTTAGCAGAGAAACAGCTTCTTTGGCACCTGCCCAAGGATAGGAAAAATTGACCATTCTGCAGCAACATCCAATAAATACGCCTGTCTGTTTTCAAGTTTAAAAAGCTCCTACTTTTACAAGGGCTCTTCTGGAAATTTAAGCTCTAAATCCAAGTTGCCATAAATGTAATTTAAAGTGACACTAAATTGAGAAATATGTGTCATACAAGAGCCAAGCTGGACTCCTACCCCAAGAAATTACCATGGTCAATAAAAAAATATATGCAGATGGTATAAAGGTGCTGTAAATCATAGGAAACATTAGGATTTTAAGCAAGAAAACAAACAAACAAATAAACAATGGGTGGACTTACAGTAACCTCTTTTCCTGGGACAAATGCCCTTCCTATTTTAACATTGAATGTTCTAGCTATAACATTGGTTAATGTTATAAATGACCTCATTAGCTGCAAATGTAATAAAAATATATGCAATGCATATATCTATTTGGGGCAATATTTTTGATGTTTGGAATACAAAAATACGTATAAGCAGTTTTTTTTACAGAGTAGAACATGATCACTAGATAACAATGGTAAAGCAAGCTAATATGGTCTAACAACATTTTGAAGAAACTACAGTAAAGGTCCTTAGCAATCCTTTTTAGCAGAATTACATTTTAGTGCTTCTGGTTTGCTTGACCAGTATTTCATCAGCAACCAGAGGCTCCCAAACCTTGTCTGTCCACACCATTTCCAGGTGAATAATGAAAAGTGGCTTTGCAGCGCTTATTACTCAATTGGAGGTTGATAACCAAAAGAAAGCACTTTTTAAAATACATTAAACAAATAACCACCTTAACTTTTTTTTTTTATATACAAAATTACTTACACATAGGCAATCCTACTTCTATTATTTAGCATGACTTTCTGAATTTGTAGGATAACATGGTACATGACATTACAACAGGAGCTTATTTTGAAAATATTTTAACCTCCCTGGAGGTATTCCCGAGTGTAGCTCGGGGTAAAGTTTCAGCACAACAAGCGGTAACCCTGAGCTACACTCGGGAATACCATGCAGCGCTGCTCCGAGATCTCTTCTGCACTTACCTTGTCCTGCGCTCCCGCGATGTCCCTCCTGCAGTGTCCCCTGCAATGTCCTCCGGCGGATGCTGGCATTTGTCTTCTGGGTTCCGTTCCCTGCGACGTCGGAATGTACGGGGGACAGAACTGGTGGGAAATTTTAACATTTTAAAAGTGACATTCACTAAATTCACTAAAATCACATAGTAAAACATTACTGTATCAAACCATTTCACATACATGTTGTTCCTAGTGCTTTGTCCTGTGCCCTGCCTGCATTTTTACTGCTCTTTCTGCCTTGAAACTGAGAAAAGTCCATGGCGTCCAAAAAGCACCTTTAGGTCAAAAGCGGTTTTAGACCAACTAGACAACAGCGATAGTAAATTAGAACTACTTGCAGAATTGAGTGATAATGATTTGTGGGGAAATCCGTCATCAGACACTGAAAACGATTTTGTGACCTTGCTCAGTGATGTGTGAACTTGGCGCTCTATTTCAAATTTTAGTGTTTTTGGTTTGATTATATTATTGAATTAAATTTATTATTATATTATTTTTTATGATTATTTATTAAATTATAGTTTATGATTTCATGTTTCAAATTTTAACATACCCAGAATGTTTACTAGACTCTTGTTCGGACAGATTTCAGTGAGTTATTCCTAAAAATGACAGGCCTACAATAAAAAAAAAACATATTTCCATGCAAATAAATTTACCGCTTTGAGCACAGAAATATGGACATAATCAGACCTCTAGGAAGGCTACTGAATAGAGGTGTCACCCCAGAAAAGTTGGATATTACCTAAATCACAGGTGTCAAACTGGCATCCCTCCAGCTGTTGCCAAACTACAAGTCCCATGATGCATTGCAAGATTGACAGTTACAAGCATGACTCCCAAAGGCTGAGGCATGATGGGACTTGTAGTTTCACAACAGCCACCAGTTGTACACCCCTGACCTAAACGATATTATTTTCAAATTAGTAATGTTGTAAAAAATAAATAGAAGGGGTCAAGATGGAATGCAGAAAAATACTGTAACAAATGTTGGGAGGGGAGTATAAGGCGGAGAAGCAAACTTAATAAATGAATGCAAACTCTGAAGATAATATTGCAAGAGAGTGTGATAGTCTGTATGGTTTGTTGGGTAGATGCCCTGTGCCTCAGCACAGATATACAAGAGCTACAATAAGCTTTTTGTAAGCCATCTTTAACATTCTATACCAACTAATAAGAAATGTACTGTACATAGCTGCAAATAAATATATTAGTTACAAATATATGCATTTAGACATATTATACATGGGGTACAGTAAAATGTTTCTCCACAATGCTATTTATAATTCAGAAGTTGTAAATCAATTGGAAAATATTGTAGTAGTCTTCTGTGTTCACCACAAATCTAGTGGTTTAGAGGAATTCACCATACATAGTTAGCTTACATGACCTGTAGAAATCTCTACATTGTATAAACAAAATGAACACACGCTGTATATATCTTAGGGCACGGTTTCCTAACCAGAACCTTGAGAGATATGCATGTCATAGTTCCTTCTGATGACCACTCAGAAGGTCATAGTTCTAATTTTTTTAGTATATTGCTGCTTTATACACTTTTCCTAAGCATTAAGTCAGAGGTCATGTGGTTTAGTTTATTCTATTAACATTTCTAATCTAGAATCATAACAATTACGTAGCCTCTAGTGGGCTTGAAGACTAATAGGAATGGCATTGGATCATCCCTTCACCACCCTTCACCACCATCATCACCACCAGCCTCGTTCATTATTGGTAACCTAATATAAACACAGATTATCTGCAGAGAAGAATCATTTTTCTGCTAGCTAGTGACAGTTATATGGGGAGACACCTTTCCACTCAGTAGTTATCTGCAACAGGATGTATATATGGCTCTCAATGTGTAGTATATTCATGGGATATTCAAACATTTTATTTGTAGAAATCAAGACACACCAATGATAAGTTAAAAAATAAATTTTGATTCATGTGATCTAGTCATGTTTTAAGTGAACTAATATAAAAATATAGTAGTCTTAATACTATAAAAATATTTTGAAGCTTTAAAGATCTATACTGTGTTTTAAGATACTGTAGGTATCCCTTATGGAAACAATTGCTCTTGTGTAACCAGTATATTTCTCTTTTGTTTACAGTCAATAGCCAGCAAAGTCCTTAAAAATCATTTAGTGTGTTCAAGTTGACCTTTAGCTTCTCACACATTCTAGCATTCTGCCTTATTTCTGTCCATCTGTTCTGATCATTAGCAACATTTTGTTACAACAGATCTCACAAGTAAGTCAGCTGTCATCAGAACATATTGCGACTGTTACTGTTTTGCTTCCACCAAATCAGCTGTGCGCTCTAGACATTTGTTTTATTAAAAGTCAAAAGGTGCCACAATACAAGGCAAAACAGTGCATGTTCTTATTTCTATATTTAAGCTATGAAAGAGCTACATATATCATTTTGCTGTAGGAAATTTATGAGCGAATTTACTGTGACAGCAGGAGTAATAAGGAAATTGCTTTAGTTATACATTCATATTAATATTGCAACTAAAGCATCCACCACAACTGAACTGTTAAAAAAAAATGTCACACTGAATGGGTCATTCCACCCAAAATTATTATTTAGTTATAAATGGGCCCAGATAGTCTGAGTCAGCCACTGGGTTCTTACATGTCTACATATATACTCCAACAGCAAGATCTCCTTTTCATATTTCTTGACTCTATAATCGTCCACCTGGGAGTCTGGGGTATAGCCATCAACCTTTGCATTTTCAATCATTTCCTGTTATATTCACTATTGAAAAAAAAAAAAATCCAACAAGGAGAGCGGTAACCCATCCTAATGGGCACAGCAGGTGTGCAGACCCAGAAACTAAGGTACAGTACAGATACATAGGGATCATTTACACCACTCTGCTATGCTGCATACTGGTTATCACAGCATACTGTAAGAATGGACCCTATGAGAAGCAAAAAAAATTGTCAGGTAGGTTAACTCTCCAGCATCTACCCAAAAAATTGAATAACAGTTTTAGGTGGTATTAAACCCAAAACAAAAATGTTTTATATTGCAGCTTACCAATCATTAGATGTGGTGGCTGCATCGGTTTTCTTTTCTTTGGCTTTTTTCCCTCTATTTTCCATGGTGATCTGGCCAGTAACACACTTCCTGTATTAGTAAGACTCAACTGTGGAGGAATGACCAAGGAACAGCAGACAGCAGCATTGTCAGTCTAGGGGGGATGGGAGTGTTAAATGTATTAGCAGATTTTACTAAAAATGACAAATTGAAAACAAAATTCATCTAACACTTTATAATTAGTTACAGCAAACTTTTTTTTCCTTTTATGGTAAAGGATTTAATTGAATAAACAACAGTTAATCATTTTAATAACCCGCCAGTGGTAACTGGATGGTATCATCCATGTAAGCTGATGCATTCTGCTGGAGAGCTTGAACTTCTAAAAAACAGAAGAGTTGCTGGGTGAATCACCAGATGAAAAAAGAAGAAAAAAAGCCCAAAAAAGCAAACTAATGCAGCCATCAAATATTTGAAAGACAATTGCGCGGGCATGCAACACTGTACCCGTATGAAATTTTTAGCATTTATTTGTGACAAATAGAGATTTATTTTGGGTGGTATTTAATCAACTCTGGGTTTTTTATTTTTTTCTTAAACAAACCAAAAACCACTGAAAATATTGAAAAAAAAAGTTTTTTCTTAGTTTTTGTTATAAAATTTTGTAAATAAGTGATTTTTCTCCTTCACTGATGTGCGCTAATGAGGCTGCAGTGATGGGCACTTATAGACTGCACTGATGGACACTGATAGGTGGCACTGATGGGCACTGATGAGGAGGCACTGGTAGGTGGCACTGATGGGCATTGACAGGCATCACTGATGGGCACTGAAAGGAAGCACTGATATATGGCAGTTAGGTGGCACTGACTGGCACTGGTAGGTGGCACTGTTAGGCGGCACTGACTGGCACTGGTAGGCGGAACTGACTGGCACTGATGCGCACTGATAGGCGGCACTGATGCAGACTGATAGGTGGCATTGATTGGCAGCACTGATAGGTGGCACTGATTGGCATTGATAGGTGGCACTGACTGGCACTGATGGGTGACACTGAAAGGCAGCTCAGATGGGCACTGATATGTGGCATTGATGTGCACTGATAGGCACTGATATGTGGCATTGATGTGGCACTGATGGGCACTAGCACGTGGCACTGATGAGCACTGACACAAGGCATTGATGGACACTGACAGGTGGCACTGCTGGGGCTACACTGATCATCAAGCACACTGATCATCAGTGCTCTGATGATCTGTGTACATGTCCCCTCTGCGGAATGCTGATTACCGGCTCTCCTCTCCTCTCGAGCTGTCAGCGTTACAGCTCGAGAGGAGAGAAATGCCGATAACCGGCATTTCCCTGTTTACATGTGATCAGCTGTGATTGGACACAGCTGATCACATGACCGAGCTGACATCTTCGGCTCTTTCCGTGGATCGGTGATCCGCTGTGTCCGAGGGACACAGCGCACCGCCGATCCCTGAGCTGTGCATGCGCAGTGAGAATAGTCCTCCCAGAACGAGAGAACCATCTTGTGTCCATCATATTACTATATGGCGGGCGGGGGGGGGGGCGGGGTGATTAATACTACTTTAACTGACCCTTTAGCCTATGTAAAAATTATCCTGAGGTAATTCTAATGGATGCCAACATTCCTAATGTATATCATTGTATTAAAGAAAAACCCCACGGTTGGGACTTTAAAGGCATCAATGGAAGAGTAAACAATATCAATCTTTATTGAACACAGATTTGTTTAAAAATATCAACCATAAAATATTATATGGGCGGTTACTTAAAGGTAAATCCAATATCACCATACAAAGGTATATCAGCATTACAGAGTTCCTGGATAACACCCTACTCCTTCTTCAGGGATGAGACTCTGTGCATAGGTGATATAGCCTCCAGAAGCTGAAACATACATACTTGGATCATACAGCAATTCTATCAGCAATTGTATACAATATCATTGTGTAAACATCAAATATGCAATACTCACAACGTATTACAGTGAGAGCCAAAGAAAAAGGGGGAAAATGTTTGTGCCACATTTAAAAGCATCTGGTGTGTAGCCAAGTACACCAATCCACCCCAGACCACATCCAGGTAGGCACTGACCAGAGAGGACCCCTCTGAAAAGGCACTGAGGCCACACTGACAGCCACAAAGGTACTACATAACAAAAATAATAACAATAATAACTACCAAATAAGCAAAAAGAAGTGTTATATCGTCATTCACTCTGTGAACTGCATATGAATTGCACTGCATTCCTAAGCAAATCACATTTGATTCTGTGTTCAAATTGCAGCACATCAAAAAGGTACAGGCCGCTTTTTTTTATCCACACTGGAACCAAATTGCATGGGTGTTTATACCCATGCAATCCAGTTCAGGCAAATGCACTTCATTGAGACCTGTATTTGGAGTGTCATTAACTTTCCATTGACACCCGCAGAAGATCACAGAACACAGTGCGATTACTGTTCGCACAGGAATTGCTGTGTTTTCTGCACCACATCAGTGTGACCTGGGGCTTAGAGTAAACTTTAAAAGAAATATTTAAACTATAATATATCACCTTTATCTCAAAAAGAATGAAATAGTATGTAAAGCTTTTTTTTTAAAATATGGATCGAGTATACAGGTGAAACTCGAAAAATTAGAATATCGTGCAAAAGTTCATTAATCTCAGTAATGCAACTTAAAAGGTGAAACTAATATATGAGATAGACTCATTACATGCAAAGCAAGATAGTGCAAGCCATGATTTGTCATAATTGTGATGATTATGGCTTATACTCATGAAAACCCCAAATCCACAATCTCAGAAAATTAGAATATTACATGCAATCAATAAAACAAGGATTGTACATAGAACAATATCAGACCTCTGAAAAGTATAAACATGCATATGTACTCAGTACTTGGTTTGGGCCCCTTTTGCAGCAATTACTGCCTCAATGCGGCATGGCATGGAAGCTATCAGCCTGTGGCACTGCTGAGGTGTTATGGAAGACCAGGATGCTTCAATAGCGGCCTTCAGCTCTTCTGCATTGTTCAGTCTCATGTCTCTCATCTTTCTCTTGTCAATGCCCCATAGATTCTCTATGGGGTTCAGGTCAGGGGCGAGTTTGCTGGCCAATCAAGCACAGTAATCCCACGGTCATTGAACCAGGTTTTGGTGCTTTTGGCAGTGTGGGCAGGTGCCAAGTCCTGCTGGAAAATAAAGTTAGCATCCCCAAAAAGCTCATCTGTGGAAGAAGCATGAAGTGCTCCAAAATCTCCTGGTAGAGGGCTGCGTTGACCCTGGACTTAATGAAGCACAGTGGACCAACACCAGCAGATGACATGGCTCCCCAAATCAACACAGACTGTGGAAATGTCACACTGGACTTCAAGGATCTTGCAGTGTGTGCCTCTCCATTCTTCCTCCATACTCTGGGTCCTTGGTTTCCAAATGAGATGCAAAAGTTGCTCTCATCAGAAAAGAGGACTTTGGACCACTGAGCAACAAACCAGGTTTGTTTTTCTTTAGCCCAGGTAAGATGCTTCTGACGTTGTTTGTTGTTAAAGAGCGGCTTGACAAGAGGAATACGACATTTAAAGCCCATGTCCAGGATCCGTCTGTGTGTGGTGGTTCTTGATGCACTGACTCCAGCCTCAGTCCACTCCTTGTGAAAGTCCCCAACACTTTTGAATGGCCTTTTCCTGACAATCCTCTTCAGGCTGCGGTCATCCCTGCTGCTTGTGCACCTTTTTCTTACACACTTTTCCCTTCCACATAACTTTCTATTAATGTGCTTTGATACAGCACTTTGGGAACATCCAACTTCTTTTGCAATTACCTTTTGAGGCTTTCCCTCATTACGGAGGGTGTCAATGATGGTTTTCTGCACAACTGTCAGGTCAGCAGTCTTTCCCATGATTGTGATTCCTACTGAACCAGACTGAGAGACTATTTAAAGGCTCAGGAACCCTTTGCAGGTGTTATGGCTTACTTAGCTGAATAGAGTGAGAAACTTTAAGCCTAGAATATTGCACCTTTTCACAATATTCTAATTTGCTGAGATTGTGGATTTGGGGTTTTCATGAGCTGCAAGCCATAATCTTCACAATTATGACAAATCACGGCTTGAACTATCTTGCTTTGCATGTAATGAGTCTATCTCATATATTAGTTTCAACTTTTAAGTTGCAATACTGAAATAAATGAACTTTTGCATGATATTCTAATTTTTCGAGTTTCACCTGTATACAGTGGGGAAAATAATTATTTGATCCCCTGCAGATTTTGTAAGTTTGCCCACTTACAAAGAAACGAAGGGTCTATCATTTTTATCATAGGTGTATTTTAAATGATAGCGACAGAATATCCACCAAAAATCCAGAAAAAAACATGATACAAATGTTATAAATTGAGTTGCAGTTCAGTGAGTAAATTAAGTATTTGATCCCCAAGCAAAACATGATTTAGTACTTGGTGGAGAAACCCTTGTTGGCAAGCACAGAGGTAAGACGTTTCTTGTAGTTGGTTACCAGGTTTGCACACAACTCAGGAGGGATTTTGGTCCACTCTTTTTTGCAAATCTTCTCTAAATCCTTAAGGTTTCATGGCTGTCACTTGGCAACTCAAAGTTTTAGCTCCCTCCAAAAATTTTTTATAGGATTAAGTTCTGGAGACTGGCTAGGCCACTCCATGACCCTAATGTGTGTCTTCTTGAGCCACTCCTTTGTTGCCTTGGCGGTATGTGTTAGTTCATTGTTATGCTGTCCACTGGCCCCTTAATGCAGCAAAGTCGACCTGTACCATTAGTAGAGAAAAAGCATAATATTTTCACCTCCATGCTTGACTGTAGGGATGGTGTTCCTACAAACATGCTGAGTCAAGTTAATGCCAAAGAGCTCAATTTTGGTCTCATCTGACCACAGCACTTTCTCCCATTCCTTCTCTGAATCATTTAGATGTTCACTGGCAAACTTCAGACGGGCCTGTACATGTACCTTCTTGAGGGGGACCTTGAGGGCACTGCAGGATTTCAATCCATGGCAGCGTATTGTATTACCAATGGTTTGTTTGGTGATTGTGGTCCCAACTGCCTTGAGATCATTCACAAGCTCCTCCCATATACTTCTGAGCTGATCCCTCACTTTTTTCATGATCATACTTATCCTATGAGGTGGAATCTTGCATGGAGCTCCTGACTGAGGGCGACTGATGGTTATATTGTATTTCTTCCAGTTGCAAATAATTCGCTCCAACAGTTGTCTCCTTTTCACCAAGCTTCTTGCTGATGGTCTTGTAACCCATTCCAGCCTTGTGCAGGTCTACAATCTTGTCCCTGACATCCTTTGACAGCTCTATGGTTTTGCCCATAGTGGTGCCCAAGACAGAAATTGGTGTCTTTTATACACATAACGAATTGTTGTTAGGAGCTCCTTCTTAAATTGACAGATTAATCTGTGTACCACATGAGCACATAGTAAGTCTATGGGAGCCAGAATTATTGTTGGTTGGTAGGGAATCAAATACTTATTTTACTTACTGAAATGCAATTCAATTTAAACATTTGTATTATGTGTTTTTTTTCTGGATTTTTAGTTGATAAAATACACCTATGATAAAAATTATAGACCGTTAATTTCTTTGCGTTTGAGCAAACTTACAAAATCTGCAGGGTATCAAATATATTTTTTTCCCCCACTGTAAAGGTTAGAACCCATGTCATGGTACTATAGCTGTCTGTGTCCCTCCTGGGAAGATTCACTCTAACTATTAGTCCCAATGACTATTGTCTCTGGCACAGAAAGTAATGAATGATGCAAAATGTTTGCATTGTCACCAGGGGCGGACTGACAACTCATGGGGCCCCCGGGCAATAGCGGATCATGGGGCCCCTGTGTCCATGCCCAAACTCAAAAAATCCTATGAAAAAGGTACCAGGGGCATCTCATAGGGCCCCCTACTGACCCGGGCCCTCGGGCAGTGCCCGAGTTTCCAAATGGTCAGTCCGCCCCTGATTGTCACAGGAGAACTTTCAATGAAGAAATCTGTTCTCCTCACAACTGTCTAAGAGGAATGTCCCTTCGCCTTAGAAAGATCTTTGCTGACTTCCTGTTGTGTCTCAGACAATAGACAGCAAAGAGAAAAAAAAAGAAAATTCTTTTAACCATTCCTCACTCTAAAACAAAACAAAAAAAAAGTTTTGTTTTTACATGTGACCACATTACAGTATACAATAAAAAAGACTCTTTTCAAGTATTGGTCAACTGCCTGATATGCAGTTGCTGATTAAGTGACCTTTTCAGAGAACTAAGGCTGGCCATAGACAGTTAATTTTTTTTTTCAATTAGCCAGTGGGTTGATCAGGAAAAAATTAACAGATTCCCTTATCCACTACTATGCCATTGTATTATGACAGTGGAACACCTCCACTGTAAGAA